GTTATGCAACAGTTTCATTAAAATCCAGTGTTTTGGGGTTTTTTTTTTTTTTTTTTTGAGTAACGCATTTGTGGCGTCCAGGGTCATTCCCAGGTAAAAAGAAACTTCCATCATATCTGGGTCAACAGTTGCTTACTACTTTTCATTTCTGTTTCCTTGAGAATAAAAGCCTAGCACAGAATCAATTCCCCAAATCCAAGCAGGAGCTAAGGCTAGGCTATGAGCCCAAGGCTGGACCACGCAGCTCACACGGAACAGCTCACTAAGAGAGCTGCTCCGGGTGGAAGAGTTAGGTAACACGGTGCCTGGCCGACTTGCAAAAGTGCTCATCGAAGGGCAATTAGTATTAATATAATTAAAAGTGCAATTAAACTGACATGTAGCCAAACGTCAAACCTCTGACTTTAAGATAATTTAACTTCAGAAAATATTCAAATAGAAGTAGGTGACGGTTTCAGGAGAGAGAGACAAGGATGGACACACAACTCAGCACTTGGGAAGCCCTGCGCTGCCCGCGTGAGGAAGACCCTGTGGTTTCTGAACTCACAAGCCACCCCAGTGCTGGTGAGACAGCCCAGGGCGGAGCCTGCCCCGCAAACAAAATTTATCTTCAATTGTACCAAAAGATCTCATTTAGAAGTGTGTGATTATTTTTACTCATTTTATTTGTATTTTCTTCACAGAAGACCATAATTTTTTTCTACCACTACATCAGTATGCACCTCCAAAAGGAGACTGGAAATTCTACAAAATAGAAAATAATCTTTTCATGTGCTCAGAGAGGTGGGAATTATTCTAGAAAAAAAAAACACAGCATCTAAATGACAGACTGCGATAGCCTTATATCCTTGCAGATAAACCCAAAACTCAACTAGTCAGCATCTTTGGAGAGAAAGGCACCACCTCTTTACCTTCTCAAAGTGTGGAGATCTGTCTTCCTGGAGGGGTGGCCTCAGGCCCTGGAGGAAGGGCTTCCTTCCTTGAGAAAATCCTCTCCCTCTTTGTGAATTTCACACGTCCTTTCAAGGACTCTAAAAGCCAGCGTCTCTTTTAAAAGAGCCGATGAGCTGATGAACCTCCAACGCGTGTACCAAAAGTTCAAACATACATACAAATCTATACGAACTAAAAAATTACCTTCTTTCTCGTTCCTGGAGGCACAACAGCAGCAGAATATTATAATCAGAACAATTATCAGGATCAAAAGCAATGAAAACGATACTGCAAGTAGAATTATGGCCCAGGTAGGCAACGATGCTTCTGGTTTATCAATACTGCCTACAAGGTCAAAAGAAGAAAAAGAAACATTTTAGTGATGCTCGGCAGTGTCAAGGGTATATGATCAATGGTTCTGCCACACTGTAAACTAGATTATGTTTTCCAATAATGTAGCTATTCGGTCTGCTACGGCCAAGTGTCAAAGGCCAAGTTCCCCTCAGTGTGCTTAAACACTCAACATTCCATCACAGCGCTTAATGCCCCCAGTGGATGCCTGCTTAGGAACACGGTCCAAGCACTTGCTGGTTACCGCCTCTTACGTTCCGGAGAGGGAGATAGGCTGGGCTGGGCCATGATGCCCTGCGATCGGAGCAGTGACTTCCAAGCTCCAGCATCCCTTGTTCATTCAAGAAATATTTCTTGAGGCGCTACTGCTGGACAAGGCTGGAAGGGTGACGCTGGTTCTTGCTTCCATGCCCCCGCCCATCAAAAGTCAAAAGCCAGCTGAGAGGAAATCAGGACAAACCCAGGGAGGGTCACTCCGGAAGGAACTCAGGGCAAGGCTGCCCCCGAGCGCCACCTACCCCCAACCTCCTTTCACTTCTCATCCAGTAACTGCTCCTTCTGTGGCTCTCCAAGACCCACCTTCCTTAGTGTCTACTTTGCCCTCTTGTCTTATCCAGGAGTCATGGAGGTGGGAGAGAGGAAGGTTCAGGTCGGGCAGGACAGGCAGGGAAAAAAAAGGTGGGGGGTGGTGGGGAGAGGAGAGAAGAAAAGACATTTCGATTTCTCACAGCCATGTCCCTGCCGGAACTTTCCTATACACGCCATGTTGCTGTCTAAATTCAAATTTAAGTTAATTTAAATTGTATACAATTAAGTACAGAGCGCCTCAGTCCCACTGGCCGCATTTCAAGGGCTCAGTTGCTACAGATGGAGAAGGAGCTCTGCCTCCATCTGGGGGAGTCCCGTGGGGCAGCGCCGCCTAGCCGTGGGCTGCGGGAACTGCACCGATGTTCCAAAAAGCCCCAGTCCCGCAGCGCTTCCCCTGCAGAAACACGTCAAACCTCCTTTAAGTCGATCTGTTTAAATGTGAATTGCTAGTCAGTAAAGTCACTCACTCAGCCTTGAGTGCTTGGGTAGCAACTCAGTATAAGTTCGTGCTATTTTATTAGATGCTAGTCATCAGAAAAATATTAAAAACAACAGACTTCCTAGAAGGAAGATCAGATTTCCTTTTAAATCAGCAGCCGTCCAGCACTTTGGAACCAGAGATTATAGTTGAAAAGGTCTCTTGGATTTCTTCCTTAGATTTTTCCTTGAAATCGCACTTTTCTATCTCGGTGTCAAAGTTAAATGCTCAGAATAAGTTGCCCACTGCAGGATTATCCACAGACTCCTCTCAAAGCAAGTGCTATAATTCAGGGCACTCTGTGTTTTGAAGAACTACATGCCAGAAAGGGATATTTGCCTCCTTTTGCCCTTTGTGCAAAGCTTCTCTGCATTACCTGCAATGGTTTTTAAATTCTCTCTTTTTTTTTTAACATCTCACATCTGATGCCATCTTCAATGTCTATGAAAGGGACCGCTGTCCCTTCCATTTCTTCCCACACTTCTGCTACTACCTAAACTAAACCTAGTCCCCTGAGCATCAGCGACTGTGTCTTATTTTCCTGAGACCCCAAGCACCTGGCACATATGGGGCGACGTGGTGGATGGGTGGATGGACAGACAAAGGGACTGAGTTCCTTCTGACTCTCTATGGAGAAGAGAACTCTGTACACCAGGCAGTCAGCTGCAGCTGAGCCAGGCCTAGGCCTCACCTTTCTCCCTGTATTGAGATGCTCAGAGAAGAATTACAGGACTTAAAATCAAAACTAAAACCATCTATCTCCACATCACCCACCACTTTTTGGAGGTGAGCTGGGATGGACAGATAAGACAAGAGCTTCTCCCCATGAACGATGAAGGGGGAGGGAATAGAATTACACCCTCCCTGTGGCACCCCTCCCCAGCCCCATAAGTGGAGCTTTAAAACAAACCAGTCTCTTCACATCCAGAGGATAACATGGCTCATCCCCTTGCTCCACCGACGGCAGAATCCCGAGCACCACCTGGGATGCTTGTTACGTGCACTGACTCAGAACCCTCCTCCCGAGATGCTGAGTCAGGGGTCTGGGATGGTACCCCAGGTGACAGATGCCGGTGCTTTGAGCATCCCTGTGTGCAGCCAAAATGTAAACGCTGCCCAAGCAGCCCATTACATGACAGGGTTACCCTCCCTCCCACAGATGCGGTGATAAAATCACTAAGCCCAGAACTACATTTAGGATATTTACAACCTGCGGTTTGCAATTAGACTACGCAGTGGAAGCTTCACAGCTGACAGAGACCTTCAGCCCTCGTGTTAACGGAACCAGTCAGCTCTCACGGCCGCCGCGCACTTGTACTCCCTTTGGCCTCTGGCTCGCTCATCGGTAACAATTCTTGCCCCACCAGGCTGTTCAGAGACTCAAAGGATGCATGTCCACGTGCCGAGCGCTGTAAGGTGTGGCACACGTGTTCAAGACTGCTGGGGGCATCTTAATTCAGTCTGATGAGCTCTTTACAAACTGAAGTTTGCAAATAATAGGAGCTTTCATAATAAAGGAGCCAACGTGGGTTAAACAGTAAGGTCTGGCTCAAAATGCAAGAGATAGGCTCAAAATTCTTCCTGGAAAAAGTCAACACACCATTGACTTACTCACACCCTCCCTATCAGGGTGGTTTCTTCCCCGACTGGAGAGAACTGTCAGCGTGCCAGCTTCTGTCAACTGAGTCTCGGCACAGCAGTCTTCCCTCTTGTCTCACACGGGGACAGCCACTCAACCTCAGGGAGGGCCTGCCTCAAGGAAGGGAGGCCACCTCACTGAGGGTGGAGACAGAATCAAGGCAGAGAGCAGATGACAGTGTGGCCTCCCTTCCTCCCTTGTGCCTTGATTCAACCACCAAGCTCAGTAAAGGGACACCTGCACTCCCCCCAAAGCCCCAGGTACCCCCCACAATGGCAGCTGGCATCAGCCACGCCCCACTGGGGGCTGAATCTCCCATGGAGTTTCACGCATAAGAAAACTGTACGCCCTTCCTCCATTCCAGGGGAGCCCCAAGCACAGCAGGGCGTCTGTGCTGTGAGGAGGTGCAATCTGGCACTGGAGCTGCACAGAAGAACCTTTCTTATTTTAATAATAACTTTCAATTTACCATCTAGAACTTACATACACACGGGCACATGTATCATGGGTATTTTTGTTGAGTATGAGATTAATTTTTAAATGAGC